TCTCTACAGCAGTGTTGCCACTATTAAGTTTCAACCCTCATATATATATATACACTAAAACTAGGCAAGGATTACAAATGACTGAAACATTGACCAATATATGAATTCTTAATCAAAGCAAATTTAAATATTCAAAACCCAACCAATTCCAGAACTTTCCACCACCAGCCTCCACACCTCCCCAACCTCATCCACATCCCACCTACTCCACCCCCCTAACATTCTCCCTTCCCCCAAATGCCGTATCTCTCCTCTACCTCCACCCATGTCCTGGGACAATAAGCTAGAAATTTTAAAACGAAATTATCTACAGTAGTATAAACCACGCAGCAAAGTACACCGCATAAAACAGACAACACAACTTTAAACATAAGTAGTAAAGAAACATCATAAATGGAATTAATATTGACAAACCAATATAGTATATCACTACTAATGCACGTAAAAAACCATTACAGATGGGCATCTGACAATATGAAAGGGGAGGAATTAATTCTCTAGAAAAAGTTAACAGCCACACTATGGCTTGGTGTCTCATGCCATAGCTCAAGCGGTTAGTCGCTGGCTTCCCACTGTGGTGGCCTGGTTTCGATCCCGGGTCTGGTCAAGTGGGATTTGTGGTGGACAAAGTGGCGCTGGGGCAGGTTTTCTCCAAGTACTTCAGTTTTCCCTGCCAATCTTCATTCCACCAATTGCTCCACAATCACCCTCACCTATCATCTGGGGCTGGTACAATAGGCCAGAATTGTCCGCAGTACAAGGGGCTTAGTCCCACCCCACTAGCAGTAAAAAAATGTATGGCTTGGTGTCGACTCAGCCTCCAACGGAAATGAGTACCAGGAATATACTTGGAATGTTCTTGGGGGTAAAGGGTGGCCGGCGCGTAAGGCTGACAACCTTACCGCCATCTATGAGCAGATTATCTACAAAATGTGGGAACCTCAACATCTCACAACCCTATGGGCCTCCATGGCCTGTTACATGGATACCCTAACTTTTTTAATCGATATAATTCGATCATTTGACCCTAAAAATTCTGAGTTACTCGTGGCTTCATTTAAAAAATCACAAATAAATGAAATAAAAATAAACTTAGCCACATACGAGGGACACACATAGACACACAGACTGGAGGGATGGATTTATGAAGTACGCCGCTGAAATGAGCTCATGTGCCATAATATACACATCAAGTTTCATAAACATTGGTTCAGCCATTCAGAAGCTGGTGGGGGCAGGGGATACACAGAGAGCAAGGAGATCACATGTTTAATTTAATTTTTTCAAAATAAGGAAAGTAGGCTAAAATGGGGCAGTGTCTAGTGTTGTCTAACGAACCATCCACCACTGGACGAACTCTTTCATAGAAACAAATCAAGTGAAAGCAAACTAAGCAAAGCAAGCGAATGTTGAGCCCAGGTGCAAGTGTACAATACGCCCGCCACCCTCTCGCACTGCTGCATCCTTGTGTGAGGTTTCATTAGTCTCTATGTTTCTTTAGATAAAATAACATGCGGCAGAGCTGTGAGAACCACAAATGCTACGAAGTCAGAACTGTCCCAGGGAGTTGACACGTGAGAACAGGTTTAAGGAAATCTCCCATGAAGAAATTCATGTCACCGTTAGGGCGGTATCACACTAGGATGCCATGGCATCCAGCTGCCAGAGGACGTCAATGGACTGGCCTCAGACTGTCATGTGATGTTGATTTGGCCTTTGCCTTCATGGCAGCAATGCCAAGTTGGAAGCGCTGCCAGTAGGATGCCAGGCGCGACATATGACCACTAAATTAATACACTGAGTTTGGCTGAGATGCTGGCAGCTGCGCCATGGCCTCCCGTTGGCATCCTACTGCGATACCGCCCTTAATTACCAACATCTTTAACTCTGTTTGATAGAGTGACCCAAATGAATGAACCTTTCAAGTAGCTTATGATGATAATTCTCTCTTGTTTCTTTACTTTCTCACTCTCCCTCTGCCATTCATTCTTCATCTTCTTAACTCTTTGACTGGCGCGGGCGTTTTAACACCCGGACGATGCCAGCCGTTCCCTGGCGTTGGCGTGTTTTAACGCTTTGACAATCTCTTCCCTTCTTTGCTCTCTTGGCACTCATCAACCAAAGACATATATATGATAGTTTTTGTGCATGTTTGTAAAGAACCCTTGTAAACTTTGTGGGGGTCTATATTACTGTCAGAACCCTCTGAGAAGGAAAAGGTCAGAAAATATTTCACATTCATTCAGTTTCACCATGGCTTCTTGCAGCAAGTGTCTTCGTGTTCCTACAGACCAGCTGGAAAATGTTGTGAACGAGATTTGTTCTGATGATGATAGTGGCGATGAAATAATGATTCCTGAATTGGATGAAGTTGATAGTGACAATAATACAGTGATAGGCAATGATCCACAAGACAGTAATCATGAACATTTACCTACCACGAGTGCGGTGCCTGACACGCCCATCTCATGAACGTACGGAGACATTGTACCCCCAATATTTCCATTTGCTAATAGTTTCGGGATCAAAATTGATATAACACATAAAATGCATCCCTTTTCATGGATTAAAATTTTTTCTGGATGACGACTTGGTAAATCACATCACAACTGAAACCAATCGCTATGCTCACCAGCACTTCAACGCACATGAGTTAGCTCCTCACTCTCGAAAACACAATTACAATTATGTCACATCAGATGAAATCTGGACATACTTAGGAATTGTGTTCATGACAGGAATCGACAAACGCCCTGAAATTGAAGAATATTTGTCCACTAGGCCCATATTTCACACCCATGGTTTGGACAAAACATGTCTTTGCGGTTGAATAGTTTCATTCTATTCAAAAAGAACACAACAAACGAAAAATACAAGAAGAGAAATTACAGATTCAAAGATTTTATATTGGACTGTGTAGAAAAATGACTGAACCAAACAAACAGTGTGGAGAGGGAGAAAAGTCAAGGAATGAAGTGGATGACGAATCTATTGGGTCAGACTAGAGTGCAGTCACGCCTCCGCCCTCGACCTTGAAAAGACCACCAGTGAAAGAGCCAGCAAATCGTCTAGAGGGTGGCTTGAAAATTCACAAAATGGTCCATGTTCCTAACAGTAACAATAAGAAGAATGGTGCCCTAAGAAAGTGTCGCGTGAGTGCTAATCACAAGGTTAGAAAAGAAACAAGTATCATGTGTGCAGGCTGTGGTGTGGCTCTCTGCAAACTTTCATGTTTCAATGTTTATCACACGAAGAAAAACAAATAAAGAGGTGTGGAAAAGCATTTATTGCATAAAATATTGTATTTTAATTAGTTCCTAAAAATTTCGTTTTTAAAAACCAATTTTTGTTGAAGTTGTTTAGGAAAAAGTAACAACATGCATTTTAGCGACATAAGGTTTAAAGGGCCTGCCAGGACAGGGGTGGGATTTAAATACCCTTCGCGCCAGTCAAAGAGTTAATATTTCACATACAACGCCCTGAAGTATATAGTATTCAACGGTATTCAGTTCATGCCATGTACATATTTGGTAGGTATCTGCTTCGAATTCTCAGCAGATTACAGGAAATCCAGAGATTTCGTTCGATACAAGCTACACGAAATCAAGTTTATATATATATGTGTGTGTGTCTGTATGTATAAAACACACAGACACATGTATGACTATATGTCACATTCTTCTTCTGGGAGAGGATTCTCCAGAGAGTACCTACATGTCTAGGAGCTATTCCTAAAAGTCTGAGTCGGAATAAAAATCAAATTACCTCTACTGAGATGGGGGCACACAGTAGCATAGTTGGTTGAAGAACTATGCTACAAGGCAGAAGGTCGTGGGTTCAGGTACCAAAGAGGTGGTGAATTTGATTGCATTTTACTGATTATAGTACATATTAATCTCGTTAACCTCAACCAAAGTGCCCCAATCGAGCCAGTGATGAGTATGGCTGTCATGGCCAAAGTACACCGTTTTGGCCAGTCAGGCATTTAAACTCCACTAGTGGAAGTGCACGCACACACCGCTAGTAGAAGTGCATGAACAGTCCTAAATATTTATTTTTAAATGTAGTAATCACCCGACAGACTTGAGTAAAACCCTAATCGAGGAATTAAAATGATACCTAAGTGAACAACAGCAAAATAGAATATACTGTAACATGTTTTGCCACTGAAGACACTGTTCAGATTGTTAATTGGTCTATTTGACACCCTACAAGTCGTAGCTACAATTAATTATGACAATGTTGCGGGTTTACCCAATTTATAAACCCTACACAATAATCTAGTCACTCTGTCTTCAGTAGTCTTCACGTATTTATAACGTGGGAGCTATACAAGTCTTTCTTAATTACACAGTCCCAATATAACTGTACTACAGTACACAATCTTGAAGTCACACAATAAGTCTTCACTTGCTAATTTTTCTGTTATCGCACATGATCACATAAGATCTTCTAACCACGCGTTCGGGTCTTCCCGCGACTGCTGCTATATTTCAACTGTCTTCGGCGGCTGCTACATTTTAACTGACTCCTTAGGCAGTGCAGTTCTCTTATAAACCATCAGCCAGACAACAGGAAAACGCCTCGCTTCCTTGTTGCCTAGTCGCCGTGTTTACAGGTGTTGCTGGGAAAGCTATCAAGAGTTGTTTATTGCCGCATAGCAACCACGGCATCGCCCGCTACGTCACTGTTGTCACCTGCCATGTCACAGTGGGAAGCGCTGCCACGTCACCGCGGGGGAGGGGGCGGGTCGCTGACCGGCCCATCACCGTAGTAGCACCAGCGCTGTTATGCCACCACTGGCGGGGGAGGGAGCGTCCTGCATAGCACAAATACATCACAATACGTATGAGTTATGTCCAAACTCATCCATGAGCCAGTACTTTTATTGCAGATTCTGCAGATTAATGTGTTAAAAATATATAGTAAAATTTAATGTACATACCTTTTTTGTTGTTATCTGCTTGATGTATATATAGGCTGAAATGAAACTACAGTATTTGATTTCACTACATATGCACAGAAAACAGATCACACTCTGTATCTCAGCCATGATGCAACTGTCTGTTCATGACCCTAGAAAGGGTAATAATCTCTTACAGCTATAAGGGAAGGTCTTAGCACTGAAGAAGGGACCCCTCTAGCTTTCTCTTAAATAGCCATTCTATCAATCTTCTGTCCTTTAGTCAAAAGATTCGAAAATTCGAAGAGTGTAAACAGTGCTAGCCAACCCACTGGCACGCTGACTGTTGTCTAGCAACAAACTATAAACATTCATCCTATTACTGAGTGTGCTTACGTGACTGTAGGTTGTTTACAGGTCATTACCTAGAAATGCTCTGGCCATCCACATTACTACAATAACAACAACAAATTCTACACATTTCACATACAGAAAATTTATTCAACCATAAGATAGTATATCTCATTCTTCTTGCGCTTAACATTATCATTATCATCAATATCAACATAATAATTATCGTAAGTTACAAAAACTGAACTGGCATCTTCACTCCTATTTCTTTTTCTGGACTGTATTAATGGTCCTTCAGAAGTAACAAATAACACTAAGCCACTGTTATCCAACTTGTCTTCTTTAACATGTCCGATGGCTGATTCTGATGATCTAGAAACCACTTCAATCAAAGGGGTACCTGCAAATATCAAGTTCACTGCTTGTATTATTATTGTTCATATAATATCTGCAATCATGCTTGAAGAATGAGGACTGTAAAAGGCACACATGTATGTGAAATGGTCACACTCCTCAATTATAAATGTATTAGCATAAGAGAATTTTGTTAGATCCACTCTTTTATATTTTGTACCAAGCTAAAATAGGTCAATACTCTTTCAGGAGCAGATCATCTATGGTTCCATTCTTTCAAGGCTAAATTACAAACAAACATCACCGCTCAACCTCTTTCACTCGTAAGTTACTGCTGGGCAGTGTTCAGAGGAGAGGAAGTAGTGATAGGTAGGAAAAACAACATCAAAATTAAAAATTAGAAACCGAGAATGGTCAAAATCTGAAAAAGAATTATGAAAAGATTTTGATGTTCTGATCATATTAAAAGGATAGAAGGTCACAGAATTCTTCTGAGAGTATTGATGTTAGGACTCAAGCAGAAAAGGCCGCTTGGACAGCTTCTCAAGTTAGATGTGAAGTAGAGAGGAAGAGGTTGGAATGAGGTCTAATATTTACAAACTCAAGAGCTGTATGCAACAGTCTACAGTCTCTGTACATTTTTCAAATTGCACAAACTGGTTTCTTCTCAAATACAATTTAGGTATCTTACCAGAAGAACTGGGGGCAGAATGCGTTCTGGGCATAGAATAGCTGCATGTGTCAGTTGACAGTCCCTCTGTCCATGTTCTCTGTGCCCACTCATCATTCGGAACAACCTGGCCACAATAAAACATTCAGTTTAATGCAATTGCATGTCCTCACAGGAGTGAAAAATGACTTGCAAGGAAAGAACCAAGGTACAACTACCAAACAGAATGCAGAGTGTAAAACAAGCTTATTCTTCCCATGCACATACATGTATTTCACAACAATTCCAATACAGCTTCAAACATTTTCACATTTACGAAGCACTTTAATCTGAACTATAGGGCTTTTACCCAGCCTGCTGAAAATTACTTCATAAAATAATATAAACACTGAATTAATATGTATTGTTCAGAGTTATATACAATGACTAGAATGTCCCTGGAGAAAAACTAACCAGACACACTGACCATCCTACCATGACAGATACTGTAAATAAGCTTGGAGAAGCAGGTGAATACACTAAGTCACAAAATTAGAAGTCAACTGATCAAAAGACCCACACTTAACTGATTTTAAACTAAGACTGTGATATGTACATGACCTTTGAGGATGAAGTGAGATACCAACACAAGCAAGATTTTTCAAATAAAAAAGTAAAGGTATCCCTGTAAAAGTCCATGGAGACCCACAGGGTTGTGAGATTTTGAGATTCCCACATTTTCTAGACAATCGGCTCATAGACTGCAGCAAGGTTGTCAGCCTTACGCACCAGCCGCCCTTTACCACCAAGAATATTCCTGGTACTCATTTCTGTTAGAGGCTGAGTTGACCCCAGGGACATAGTGTGGCTGGAAGGATTAAGTCAATTGAAAAAATCCAACGACCTCACCAGGACTTGAACCCGTGACCTTCTGGCTTGTAGCATAGTGCCTCAACCAGCTACGCTATCATGTGATCCAGATTTTTCAAGTATGTAAGCTAAAAGAATGGTGGGTTTGTAAAGTATGAACTCCAAAACTGAGATGACTGTGCTTTTATTCTCTGTGTAACAACATGCAGTCTGCTTCTGGAGGAGTGTGGGGTCATTCTGGGCTGTACACTCATTTTAGAAAAACATCTTGCTACATTCAACCTCACCCCACTTACAGCAAAACTGAGGCTGATCCCAAGTTTCCCATTCAGTATGATACAGTCCACATTTTACAACAGTTCCCCAAAACGTGTAATCAAAGTAATTTTTGAAGAAAGCAGTCTTCTGGGATTTGGCACCATGTATATGTGATGTTAACCGACGTTTCAGAGCAACGTATCGCCTCCATCTTCAGGGTAGAAGGAAAAATATAAGAAATCCGCAAGCAAAGAGACCGTGAGAACCGGTAAAAGCAGGCTGGTCCCTTGTACTGCAGCCACTTCTGGCCTATTGTACCAGCCCCAGATGATAGGTGAGGGTGATTGTGGAGCAATTGTTGGAATGAAGATTGGCAGGAGAAACCAAAGTACTCGGAGAAAACCTGCCCCAGCGCCACTTTGTCCACCACAAATCTCACTTGACCAGACCCTGGATCGAACCCGGGACACCATGGTAGGAAGCCAGCGATGAACCGCTTGAGCTATAGCACGTCCCTAGATAACACATTACTAACCTGCACTATGAATCCTTCCTGATCAGCCTGGTGAATATCTGTCTCTGCTGAATAAGCCAAGATATCCGGAATCAGAAGCAATGTTGCAGGCTCTAGTATCACACTACATCCTTGTACCCATTCGTTGTTAATGAGATCACTCATTTTCAGTCTGGACTTAGGATCTACTGTTAGAAGACCTGTAAAAGGGATGACTGTAGTTCACAGAAACTGTACCAAGTATTGCATAAAGTACTACTTTGGAGCTAATTAAAGTAAATACACAGTGTAATATCACACCTTAATGAGTAATAACTTGACTGAAACTTAAGGAATTTAGAATGATTATCCATATTTTGAGAATATCTGCTCTTACATACATTCATTTATCTTGCAACTTCTAACAAACTACATAAACTTACATTCAGCAGAGTGGGTTTTGTAAATACATATGATATTTGTCTGAATCAACTGATTTATTCATGCATCCATACACACACACACACACACACCCATTCACTTATTTATTCATCCATACACATCCATTCATCATCTAAACTGAAAAATGTTAACTGACACAAACAGATAACACGAATAAAGAAAACCAATACTCATCAAAATGAGGTTCTGCAGACAAAAGCCAAACAGAAGATAACCATTTTACATTAACTTAAACTTTAAATAGAAATCACTGTTCTAAATTGTGACACAAAACTAAAAACATAATTCTCCTCCTGATAAGATTAATTCTATCATAATTGCACTTCAAGAAAAGATAAATTTGTTGTCAAGTAACAGTATCTTACTGGTAAAAAAATCCTGTTTCTCCTGTCTACTTTCAATTTTAACATATTTATCAGATTTCTTTCCTTTCGTCACATATTTTGCTTCTGAAGAAATGTGATCCAAGGCATCAATGTTGGAACTGAATTCTTCCCCATTAATCCTGGCCATCACAACTGCAACATCATCTCCAGACTCAACTTGGTATGGGGTATGCCCACATAACATAGTATACTGTAAACCACAAAAATCCCATATTACACATTAATTCTTCACATATCCTCCACATTAAATTCTAAAGCAGTCTGAATGTGACTTTTTTAATCCCCTGGGGACTACTTTACTAAGGGGACAACTCTCTGGCCTTTCACTATGCCCCTAAGTCAGTCTCATTATTTGTACTGAGTGCATTAACAAAAATGCTTTTTGTCATACAGAATGCTTGAAGTTACATGTGTGCTTAGTATCATAAATATATGCTTTGGCACTATACAAATTTCTAACTTCCCTGTTTTGCTTAATAAAGCTTGTAATTAATGTATGTAATATATAGTTATATAATTCTTACTCTATTAATGCGCGTAACATGGTCTGTCTGGTGGTAATACGACTACTGCTACCATCTGGCTAATTTCAGCAAAACAACTGTGAAAGTACTATTATCATTAAAATTATAAAAAATATCACAGAAAAAGGACTACCTACATTATTGACATGAGCTTTCCATTTGGCAGGAGCTCCAAGCTCCTAGTTTTAGTGTGTGCCAGCAGGTTTCATGACTTCATCATAAAATCAGGCTCTGCCATCTTGAACCAAACACTGAACTAACTTCAGTGCTATCTGCATGTGTTCAGTTTTCTTTCATAAGCAAGGAGCCATCTTCATTGCCTCAAATACTGTGTCCAAGGTGAAGACACAAAAACTGGTCTCTTTATGGTTACGAGATGAGAATTTAAGAGTTCAGAGATCCAACATACACTCATAAGGCACAGTGCAATTCTTAGTGGGGTCTGAGCAAGAAGCATAATCAGCATGTTACAAGTTCGGGATAATCTTCGCGGCCAAAACATCTCTCAGGACAGGCAATATCAGAAATTAGAAGTCGTTCATATTCGGAGGATGTAATGAAATTTCTGACAGAGAAAATTTCTCAGAACTCTTTTTGTTTTAGTGGCAGCAGTAGCATTAGCAGTGAAGAGGAAACTTCTGCTACGCTGGAGACAGGCAGGAGTCATAAAAGAACACTGGCCACAAAACCTAAACAACCAGGCTCTGATTCTGAATTAGGGTGAAATGACGAAACTGCAACAGTACAGTGACCTGCATTTTCTGGCTTGCCAGGGATAAGTGTATTTCTTCCATAACAGAAGACAGCTCACAAATACAAATTTTCAGAATCCATTTTGCTGATGTAATTCTCAAAATCATTCGGATAAAACCAACTTGTACACAGTGAAACAGATAATCAAGGAGGGGCATGAAGGTCCTTTGGAAAGCCTATATTTGCAGTGGAAAACCTGTCACGTTACAGGACCTAAACTTCTCTGTGCAGTTGTCATTCACATGGCTGTTGTGTCAGTTGTCAGTGCATGATTACTGAAGCAAAAGACCAATGATGCAAGCCAACTATACGTGGTGTGTTCAAAAAGTATCGAACCTTCTTTTTTCCCGTGTAAACCAATGAAGCATGGGAGGCTCCCTTCAATGGAGATGTGGAGGGGACATTCATGCGCAGTCGTGAATTTTTTCCCACCCGCAGAAAGCGTCAGTCGCTGGCAGTCGGCCTATGAGTGAGGACGGGTAGTGAGCACTCATCAGATTCCAGTAAGGTTGACGGAACAACATGAGCAGCGAAATTGCATCAAATTTTGCTAAAAGCTTGGCAATACCCAAGTGGAAACCATTCGCAAGATTCAACAGGCTTTCGGGGACAATGCCCTGAGCAACTCACGGATAAAGGAGTGGTACAACCGCTTCAAAGATGGCCGCACATCAGTGGACAGCAAACCGCATTCAGGCAGACCCTCAACCAGCCAAAATGAGAATGTCATTGAGCAAGTGTGGACTTTGGTCATGGAGGACCGTCATATCACAGTCCGAGAACTTGCGAAAGAGATAGGGGTAAGCATTGGATCGGTACATTCAATTTTGACCAAGGATTTGGGCATGAGGAGAGATTCCACGAAATTCGTACCAAAACTGCTAACAATGGAGCAGAAGCAACGCCGTCTGGAAATCGCACAGGACATGCTGGACAATGCAAACAGTAACCCCAACTTTCTGAACACCGTGATCACAGGCGATGAGTCGTGGGTTTATGGGTATGACCCGGAAACCAAGATGCAGTCGTCACAGTGGAAACATCCAACATCCCCGAGGCCAAAAAAAAGCACAGTAGGTCCACAGCAATGTCAAGGTCATGTTGGCCGTTTTCTTCGACTCCCGTGGGGTTGTGCATCATGAGTAAGCACCACAAAGCCAAACCAACCCAAAGGAATACTACCAGGAGGTCCTTCATCGCCTTTGTGATGCCGTGCGGCGCAAACGACCGGATCTGTGGGCAGCAAAAACTTGGCAGCTCCATCATGATAATGCACCCGCCCATTCTGCGCATCTGATTCAGATTTTCGTCGCCAAACACAACATTCCTGTGGTTCGTCAGGCTCCCTACTCCCCCGACATGACTCCGTGTGACTTTTGGCTATTTCCCAAGCTGAAAATGCCGCTGAAAGGAACCTGATTTGAGTCAAAAGAAGACATCATGCGTAATGCGATGGCCCGGCTGATCACCATTCCAAAAGACGCATTGCAGAAGTGTTTCCAACAATGGCAGAATCACTGGGAGAAGTGCGTGCATTACCAAGGAGACTACTTTGAAGGGGATTAGGGTTTTGTATCTCCAAATCAATAAATGTATTTCTGCCGACAAAAGGTTCGATACTTTTTGAACACACAACATACAGCATCAGTTGGTGCGTCTCATGAGACATTATTATTCGGATATGTTACATGCCAAACAATAATGCAACACAAATTCCCAGGGGACAAGCAGGTTATGACCCCTTATTCAAAATCTGCCACATATGACATGGCCTAAATTAAAAAATTTGAGAAGTATACATGCCCAAGAAAGAATTCACCATCAATAAGGCAATTTATACATTTCAAGGGCACATATTCTTCCAGGTGTACAGGAAGGAGAAGCCACACAGTAAGTATGAAATCAAGATTTTTCAGCTCTGTGAAGCAAATTAATGCAGATCCTAAAGGAAACAGGTATCGATTGGCGTGAAAGAAGATTGATTAGTAAATTGTACATGGATCAGAAAGTTAGAGTGCGACTGGACAGAGGGGAGACAAGAAGTGTGAAGATTGGAAGAGGAATTCGACAAGGATGCTGTTTATCACCAATTTTGTTCAACTTGTAGAGCGAATGCCTTACCAAAGAAGCTCTGGATGGGCTTGGAGACTTAAAATTAGGAGGGCAAAGTACTGAAACTGTGAAATATGCAGATGACCTTGTGTTAATGGCTAAGGAAGAAACTGTGCTACAGGGTATGATTGATAGACTAATCGAAATTGGAAGGTGCTATGGCATGGAAATGAATGTGGAAAAAACAAAAGTAATGAAAATTTTGAGACAACCAACCCCAGTCACAATAAAGATAGACCAAAAACAACTGGAGAATGTGAAATGTTTTAAATATTTGGGTAGCTTCTTAACAGATGATGGAAGGTGTACGTGTGAAATTAAATCTAGGATTGCCATGGCAAAAGCTGCATTTAGCAAGAAGAAGAATCTCTTTACAAGCAAATTGGACTTAAATTTGAGAAAGAAACTAGTGAAATGCTACATTTGGAGCATTGCTTTGTATGGGGCTGAAACTTGGACACTTAGGGCAGTAGATCAGAAACACCTGGTAAGCTTCGATATGTGGTGTTGGGGAAGGATGGAGATCAGTTGGACCGATTATGTGAGAAATGAAGAAGTGTTATTTAGAGTCAGTGAGCAGAGGAGTATCCTACACGAAATAAGAAAATGGAAGGATAATTGGATTGGTCATATCTTACGAGGTAACTGCCTTCTAAAAGAAGTTATTGAAGGAAAGATAGAGGGGCGGATAGAAGTGACCAGAAGACGAGGAAGAAGACGTAAGAAGATGCTGGATGACCTTGGGGACAGAAGAGGATATTTTCATTTGAAGGAGAAAGCTCTAGATGCCATCAAGTGGAGGAACTGTTTTGGAAGAGACTGTGGACCTGTCATCTTGACAGATTGCAGATGAATGAATGACATCTTACTAACACGGATCACAATAGTACATTCAGTGTTGGAAAGAGGCTCTGTGCACAGGTCATGAACAAGGGGCATACAGTGTATATGGATAGATTGTTTCTAGCCCCAAGCTTCCTGATCATCTGTGGACATATCTATGGACACAGTAATGCCCAATAGGAAAATGCTGCCTAAACATGCATTAAAAACTGAAGGTATGGGAAGCACCTGCTTGCCAAAGACAACTCTCCTTAGCTACAAAATGGAAAGACACCAGAAACATTCACATTTTTGGTACTGCCCATAGCAATGTGAAGGTTGGACACTGGCATCCAGGGGACAATACCTATAAGCAAAACCTACAGCAATTATGGACTACATAAATACAGAATTTGTGTCAACAAGTCTGATCATATGTTAGCATATTCATATTGCTCACTCCGGACAGAATCAGCAACAAGGCGGAAGATGGTGCTGTTTCATCTCTTATCTGTACATTGTAAATGCCCACACACTGAACAAAAGGAACAGAAAAAACATCCTATTAAAGCTGTTCTACAAGATGGTTGCTGAAGGCCTCAGTGGTGCATGGCAAGATGCTTTGGAATGGTCAAGGAGTGCTTCTGCAGGCAGACTTAACAGAAGAGATCATTTCCTGTACAGACTTCCAACAGCACATGAGTGGATCAATCTCACTGAACCTGTGAAGTGTCTGAGGACATGGGCAAGCACCAAACAGGAAAAGCTAGGAAAAGCTTATGCTTCTGTATTGTGGGGCTCTGTTTAGGGAAGAGCTTTGAAAATTACAACTCCAAGATATATTGTTGGGAGTGTTAAGTGAATTTAGTCCAGCTGATGAAAAGTACACAGTGTTTAAAATGTATAAAATATTTTATCTTCTTTTGTGGACACTTATTATGCTGTAGCAGCCTCAGGATTTACAACCATAATAAGTCTATTTGTTTGCAAGGCACCTGAGGAAAGATTATATTTTTGTGTGCCCAAATTTCAGGTTTTTATGTAAAGAATTACAGAAGTTATGAACTGCTTAATAATACTTAAAACCCTCCAGTACAGGGAGTTTAATTTAAATATCAATGGACTCAAAGTGTCTTAAGAGGGGTTACCAGTCTAGCAGTAACTTAGTGAAGGATGAGAATGGTGATCTTCTTGCAGATTCCCACAACGTTTTGAATAGGTGGAGTAACTACTTCTCTCAGTTGTTGAACGTACATAGGGTCAGTGACATTAGGCAGACAGAAATTGATACAGCTCAGCTATTAATACCTGATCCTAGCCCTTTTGAGTTTGAAAGTGCTATTGCAAAATTGAGACAGTATAAATCGCCAGGTAGCGATCATATTCCGGCAGAACTTATTCAAGCAGGAGGCGAAATATTACGTTCTAAGATCCACAATCTAATTACTTCTATCTGGAATAAGGAAAAATTGCCTGATCAGTGGAAGGAGTCTATTATTGTACCAGTTCACAAGAAGGGTGATAAAACTGACTGTAGTAATTATCGGGGGATATCACTGCTATCAACTTCATATAAAATTTTGCCCAATATTCTTCTTTCAAGGTTAAGTCCATATACAGATGAAATTATTTTGGATCATCAGTGTGGCTTTCGACGTAACAGATCAACTACAGGTCAGATCTTTTGCATTCGTCAGATATTGGAGAAAAAATTGGAGTATGATGAGACAGTACATCAGCTATTCATAGAGTTCAAGAAAGCCTATGATTCAGTTAGGAGGGAAGGAAGTATTGTACAATATTCTAACAGAGTTTGGGATACCCATGAAACTAGTTAGGTTGATTAAAATGTGTTTAAACGAAATGTATAGTAGTCTGTGTATGTAAATACTTGTCTGATAAATTTCCTATACAGAACGGTTTAAAAAAAGGAGCTGCTTTATCGCCACTCCTTTTAAACTTTGCCTTAGAATATGCAATTACGAAGGTCCAGGGAAACCAGGTGGGACTGAAATTAAATGGGACACATCACCTGTTGGTCTACGCCGATGATGTGAATCTACTGGGTGATAATGTAGATACGATAAAGAAAAACACACAAACTTTAACTTACACAAGTAAAGAGGTTGGTCTAGAAGTACAGAGAAAACTAAGTATATGTTACTGTCTCATCACCAAAATGCAGGGCAAAACCATGACATAAAGATAGGAAACAGATGTTTTGAAAATGTGGCACAGTTCGGATACTTGGGAACAAGGATAACAGATCGAAACCTGATTCAGGAGGAAATTAAGAGGCGACTGAACTCAGGTAACGCTTGCTACAATTCAGTCCAGAATCTTTCGTCTTCTTCTCTGTTGTCCAAAAACATAAAAATTAGAATATACATAACTATAATTTGCCTGTGATTCTGTATGGGTGTGAAACTTGGTCTCTGACATTAAGGGAGGAACATAGACTGAGGGTGTTTGAGAACAGGGTGCTGAGGAGAACATTTGGACCGAAGAGGAATGAAGTGATAGGAGGTTGGAGAAAACTGCATAATGAAGAGCTTCTTAACTTGTACTGTTCTCTTACAATGATCAAGTCAAGGAGGATGAGGTGGGCAGGTCATGTAGCACGAATGAGGGAGACGAGGAATGCATATAGGATATTGGTGGGAAAGCCAGAAGGAAAGAGACCATAGGGACGACCAAGGCGTAGATGTGTGGACAATATTAGAATGGATCTTAGAGAGATAGGATGGGATGGTATGGATTGGATAGATCTGGCTCAGGATAGGGATCAGTGGAGGGCTCTTGTGAATATGGTGATGAACCTACAGGTTCCATAAAATGCTGGGAAATTCTTGAGTAGCTGCAGAATTGGCGGCTCCTCCAGAAGGGCTCAGCTCCATGAGTAAGTAAGTAAATGGACTCAAAGTGTTAAAAGAATGCATATACACAGATTTTTAATTTCTCTAATACTGTTCCCAATGTAAAAAAGCTGTGAAAAGTAATGCCCCTGTGGCACTGGATGGAGGTGACTGGACATCTTAAAATGTACTTCTTGTTATAACATTGAGAGCAATCCAAAATTGTTGCATATGGTATTCTGAAGTCATGTTTTAAATTTCTCTACCTACATCTCTCTTTCTCTTCTAAGTGTTTTTCTTATCTCATCTGTTTAACACATTTTTACTTTATCAGGAACACTACAGATGCACTCACCAGGATCACGCCCAGGCTCCACAGGTCACAATTTTCATCATAGCCATCTGTATCATGGGTGAATGCCTCTTTAAGCACTTCAGGTGCAGCATATTGCAAAGTACAGCACGGTGTGTGCATTGTCTGATTCTCTTGTTTCAGTCCCGCAAGTCCAAAGTCAACAATCTTAATGTCAGCTTGCTCTGAATCATCAGTAAAGAGAATATTCTGCAAGGGAGGAAAAAATGTTATGCATCACCATCGACAATACTGTTCTATTTCTGTATGGGGGGGGATGTGTTAGTTGCATGACAGAGTGAACATACGAGGGGGGACCCAAAAATAACCGGAAACGACCTGTTGCGCACGCATGCTTTGTAGTTACGAGTTGTGCTGCTAGGTGGTGTTAGCTGGGGGTCTCCCGCGACTGTTAGTGAGCTGGCATCAGTCTGAGTTAAGTGGTTTGTCTGTGGTGCTCTGTTGTGTGCGTTCCTGTTTCAACCCTTTGGCGATTAGTGAGATGGCCGACCAGAAGGAACAAAGAGTGTGCGTGAANCTTCTGGTCGGCCATCTCACTAATCGCCAAAGGGTTGAAACAGGAACGCACACAACAGAGCACCACAGACAAACCACTTAACTCAGACTGACGCCAGCTCACTAACAGTCGCGGGAGACCCCCAGCTAACACCACCTAGCAGCACAACTCGTAACTACAAAGCATGCGCGTGCAACAGGTCGTTTCCGGTTATTTTTGGTTCCCCCTTCGTAGTTCCACTAAATACACATCATATTTCATATAAAACTTGAGGTTTATATGGCAGGAAGAGGTAGATTATGATCTTCTGGGTTGAGATTCAGTGAAAGCATATAACTTATTTCCAATGTTCTAGAAAACTCCATTTTCAGGATGGATGGAGACAGCATGTTTCTCCAAAACACTGATAAAAGAATACAGCTGCTGCAACCCACAAGAGCATAATTAAAATAATGTTACAGCTTTTGCTTCCTCTACAAAATAACAAGAAACTCCCTATGAATACATCCCTATATATCATCTTTATGCGTCTGTTACTTGCATTTATTTCAGTCTTTTCTTACATGTAATGAATTAATGAATGACTTAGTTAATTAATTCATTCATTAACTTACAACAAAAAACATCATTCATGCAAAAGATTTGCTGTTTGGCATATGCTAAGCCCATGAATGAATGCATGTTATTTCTAGAGTAAATGAGAAAAATTACTGCAGAAAACTGCATTTATAAACCACAAGGTTCCAGACAGTAATGCTTCTCATGTCAAAGCCAAGAAATTGATCACCACACTGACATGGAAAGGACCAAGGTCCTACCTACCTCTTTACGGACAGTGGTGGTGGTGGTG